GATGGGTGCTCCAGCTCAGGAAGTAAGGAGAATTCCTCCCTCATCTGCCTTTTCACTCTCTCTGGCGTTTGGCAGATTGGATAATGCCAGCCCACATCAGTATCTTCATTACTCAGTCTCATTCAAACACCAGCCTCTTTGGGAAACCCCCCATAGACACACCTGGAATGATTGTTTTACCAGCTATCTGGTCATCCCTTAGCCCTGTCACGTTGACACCTAAAATTAATTATTACAGTGTTCACTGGCAGAAGGGCAGACTACGATACACTAAAATGAGAGATGTCAAACACTATCAAGTTTAAAAGTTTATACGCAGCTAATGGAGGAGGAGGAAGGACTGTGATGAGCAATCACCTCTGAACTGTCTCTAACTCTGCACTGGGTACAGAATATGTACTAGATTCTGTTTCATCCATTTGAGCCAGATGTTGTATCAATGGTTTATAAATGGAAAAATTAGCCTATCACTTCCCACTACTTAAGTAACACACACAGTAAGGGGACAGAGCTAGAATTTCCCTGTACCTGGGTCTGACAGAGGGAAAATACCCAGGACAGCATGGCTTAAACTGCACCTTAGTGAGCAGGCTAGAGAGATGTTGAGGCCAGGAAGAGGTCTGAGCTCTGAGCTGCAATCAGGACACAGATTGGGGTGTGGGATCCAGGATGAGGTCTCTGCTCTGAGATGGAATCAGGATACAGGTTAGGGTTCCTTTTTCTTTTTTGAGGCACAGTCTCGATCTGTCGCCCAGGCTAGAGTGCAGTGGCAAAATCTCAGCTCACTGCAACTTCCTCTTCCCGGGTTCAAGCAATTCTGCCTCAGCCTCCCCAGTAGCTGGGACTACAGGCGCCCGCCACCACGCCCAGCTAGTTTCTGTATTTTTAGTAGAGACGGGGTTTCACCATATTGGCCAGGCTGTTCTCAAACTCCTGACCTTGTGATTCACTCGCCTCAGCCTCCCAAAGTGCTGGGATTCCAGGCGTGAGCCACTGCACCCAGCCTAGGTTAGGGCTTCTAGGCAGTATTGCACAGAAAAAAATAAATCTAAGGCACAATGAGGCTGCAAGACTTTATATCAATTGGCAAATACTAGATGTGAGGAGAGAAATGCCGAGATGTCAAAGGTGACTTCAGTTTCAGAAAATGCTATGGAAAGAGCAAGGTGGCAGGAAGCTGAACGGAACTGACAGCTGTTTTGTTTGAAACACAGTCTCGCTCAGTCGCCCAGGCTGGAGTGCAGTGGCACAATCACAGCTCAACTCCGCAGCTCAAGCGATCTTCCTGCTTCAGCCTCCCAGGTAGCTGGGACTACAAGTGTATGCCACTTGCCCAGGTGATTTTTAAGCTTTTTGTGGAGACAGGTTCTTGCTACGTTGCCTAGGCTAGTCTCAAACTTCTGGACTCAGGCAATCCTCCTGCTTTGACCTCCCAAAGTTCTGGTATTACAGACATGCATGAGCCACCATGCCCAGCCAGACAGTTACTTTTTAAATTTTCCTAACTGTCATGGTATACAAGGAATAGCCGGACATAAAATTCCAGAACTGTGAGTAAGGATGTTTTCCCCCTTTACTAGATCAACCAAAACACTGTCCTACAATACACAGGATCTGCATTTACTCACCCAGGATCCAATCACCCCATTTGAGGCATGCAGCAAACCCTTCTTTCCTGGAAGGCAAATTCCAAACTCTACTCAAGGCTCCAACTTCCTGGGATGGTGCTGAGAATTCAGCAGTAAAATACAGACAATATATCCAGCAAATGAGTGATTCAGCAAATGCTGAACAGACTCTGTACAAAGTGTGCTTCCTCATCCCTCCCTCACTCAGACACACACACACACACACCCCTGTAACACTGGGTCCCTCACTCAGACACACACACCCCTGTAACACTGGGTCCCTCACTCAGACACACACACACACACACACACACACACACACACACAACACTGGGTCCCTCACCACTATCCCTTCCCCTCCCTTCCTCACTCAGACAAACACACACACCCCTGTGACACTGGCTCCCTCACTCAGACACAGACACAGACACAGACATAAACACAGACACACACACACACAGTCCTACAAGCCTGTAACACTGGGTCCCTGACCACTATCCTTAAGGATTCAAAGCACTTAAGGAGCAAAGATCACGAAGGATCAAACACACATTCATGGAAATATCTGCAGAACTGTAATGATCAGGGTGTTTCCCGCCTAAGAGAGTCAAAACCTCTCCAGGAGCGAAAGTGAGAAAATTTGCAAGGACTAAAAAAAGAACAGGTAGCCCTGCCTTTCATCAGGCTAAGGAGACAGACGAGTACCCTGCTATGCATTCACAGGACACGGTTTCCCCCAAGGTCTTGCGGAAGTGGTGAAATGCCACAACACCCACTTGACAGAGGGACTCCTGCTTCTAACCAAGAATGTCCTAGACCCCCTGCTACACTCATTTGTGACAGGGGGAACTCAATGACCAAGCCACCCTTGCCTCCTGACAGCCAATAGACCTCAGTGAACCCCAACTTTTCCCAAGCCCACCTCTAAACAACAACCAGTGCAGATTTGACTCCCACTTCCCTGACATATGATAAATTATTAAAACCTCATGCTTCCATGAGGCCTCAACATCACACACAGGCTGAGTACCCCAAGCAACTAGGCACACTGGTGTGATAAGCCTGGTCTCCACCTCGAGGTCCCCTTCTTGCCTTCCCCTGACTGACTCAGCAACATGCACCAGTAAAATCCCCTCATACCTTTTGCTCGTGGTTACCCCACCCTGACCCCCAACATGGGTGCTCGCCCACAGGTTCCCTTTCTTGGCTCCTCACCTGCACTTTGGAGCCCGCTCCCTTCGCACTCCTCCAACATGGCTCCTACGCCCCTGTGGTGCCGCCCTCTCCAGGGCCTTTGAGCATAATAAATCCTTTAATTGCATATCATTCCTGGACTCTCATTGCTGCAGCCACTTGGGTTAAAAGATCCCACAAGGGAGACTTACTCTCACATTTATATCACACCTGACATCCTCTCCTGCCTCTATCCTCCACCTGGAGCCAAACCTTGCAAAGATTCCTCCCATTATCAAGCCACACTCCCGCCTCCTCTGGGTGCCCCCCTCACTGCATCAAGACAATCAATCCAGTCATTTCAGCAAATTTGAATTTGTCAAGGTACAAGGGTGTCCCTGATGGTCTGGCTGAATAAGCATTAACAACCCAATGCTCAAGATTAGCTCCAAATACCAATGGTTGGGGTCTCTGCTTTATTTTCTTGACTGTAGCATCCAATACAGATTTCAAAGAAAGAGATGTCATCTCTTTAGTGATAAATCCACCATTTTTAGAGTTACTTTCACTGGAGCTTCTGAGAGAGGGTTATATCAGTGTACCTGCAGACCTCAGTGTTTTCGCTTTCAACAAAAGAAAAAAAAAAAAGATGAACAGGCCTCTGTGACCGTTGAGAGGCCTCTATAGTGAAAAAATGTAATCATGCAAAGTTCTTTCACCGAATAGCTTCTCACTAACCCCTTTCCACAGGCCACGATAAGGGACCAGATCAATGCCTTGCTGTCCATGTCCCCTCCAAGCCTGTGACCAACACAGTAAGAACTAGCACTTATTCCGAGGACTGTTCCTGAAGCACGTTTATTGAGCACCTGCTATGCCCGACTTACAACAGAGCTTCTCACACTGCAAAAAGCAACCCAGTCCCCGCTGCCTGGTTAGCGCACAGGCTGTGGTTGGGGCCTGTGGGTTCTGACAGCTCCCAGAGAAGGCAGGTGGGGTTGGTCCAGTGATGGGTGGCAGGACTTCGCATATTTGCACACTTGTGTTTGTTGTTTTGAGGCACGATGGCCTCCTCCGCAGGGGGCCGACGTCAGAGTGTGATGCCTGCCCACCTGCAAAGCCCTGGGCTTTAAGTCATACAGCACATTTCCCTGTGCACACTTCACTTTCCGGGTTACACATCATTGACAATTTCCTTTGCTATCGTCCATTCACCTTTCCACTCTGCAAGATGACTGTCTCCCGCCTTCTGCCTCCTGCTCTCACATTCCACCCGCTCTTATCCCCGTCAACTAAGGGCCCTGTGTCACAGTCAGGGTTCTCCTGAGAAATAGAACAAACAGCGTATGGATCGGGGGTGGGGTGGGATATAGAGCCGGAGATCAATAGAGAGATGAGAGAGACATTGTTTTCTCTTAAGGAACTGATGGGCTCTGTAGATTGCAGGGGCTTGTAAGTGCAAACTCTGCAGTGCAGGGGCAGATCCAGAGTCCACGCTGCAGCAAGTCCGAAGGCGCCGCAGGCGGAGCTCCTTCCTCAGGAGACCGCAGGCTTTGCTCTTAGGGCCCACCCACGTTATGGAGGGTAACCCGCGGCATTCAAAGTCTTCAGATTGAACTGTTAATCACCTCTAAAAAACAGCCTCACAGAAACAGCCTGACTGGTGTCTGAACAAAAACTGAGTACCGCGGCTAGCCAAGATGGTTCATAAAATGAAACGCCACACTCGCTCCTTATTTACTGGCATCAGGCTGTCATCCGGGGGACAATCACTGTTCACCAACAAGGGCTTCGCTCCTTCGCTTGGTCCATCTCCTGCTCAGGCCGGAATGTGGACACTGACAACCCGGGGCTTGCAGAGGCTCCGCCAGTCAGCAGCGATTACTCCGGCGGTTCAGAGGAGGCCGTGCCCACCGCCCTGAGGTGGGAAGAGCAACGGAGCTGACGGAGCCTGTGCCTCGGTCCAACCACCGCGTCCGTCTACTCGGCGGGGCCGCTTTCTCTGGGGACACTGACGTCCTCTGCTTGCCCTGGAAAGGGGAGCCGAAGTCCCCTCGGGAAGACGGAGCAGGGGCGCTGGGAACCAGGCCTGCTCAGGGACCTGGGCACTTCCTCTCTGGCTCTGGAGCCTGAAAAATGAGCTTGCCCCGGGGGCGACCCCGGAGAGGCCAGCAGCCCCGTCTCGGGTGCGGTCCCCTAATGTCTGCTTGCCCCTCCCTGCGCCACCGTGCCCGCGGTCACCGTGGCCCTTCCCCGACCCCACCCAGGGCCCGGACTCACGGCAGCCCCTCTGCGCCCTCCCCCGGGTTGTCCCGCGCTCGGAGCGTCGATCCCGGGACCCCCGCACGTGGGCATCAGGCCCGGAAGGCGCGTCCCGCAGCCGCAGGGGGGGCTGGCGGCCCGGCTTCGGCCGGTGAGCTCCCCCCGCTCCGCCCCCCACTCTGCTTCCCGCACCCCAGTTCCAGCTTCCAGCCTCGGCCGCGACTCCCGGTCGGCCGTTCCGGGCGCCCACCGGCCCGCGCGTCCCGGGAGCGCCGCAGGCACGAGACGAGCGGAGCCAAGAGCCCCCGGGCGGCCCTTCCGGACCCGCGGCCGCCCCCGGGAGCGCCTCCCCCTGGCGGGCCCGCGGGGAGCCCGGGCACGGCGACGTGGCTGACCCACAAAGCCCCCGGCCCGGCGGTCAGGCCTGGGCGCGCGCGGCGCGGGGCGGGCCGGGGGTGTCGGGTGTCACCCCCAGCGCACACCTCGGCCGAGGGGCGGGGGAGCGAACCACTGAGATGCGGAGACCTCCCCGGTCCTAGAGCGGAGCAGGAAGTGTCCCAGGGGAGGGAGCCCGAGGGCTCCGGCCTTTCCTTCCCGCGGCGTCCGGCGGGCTCCGGCGGCGAACGGCCTGCGCGCCCGCCAACAGGGACGCGCGGCGGCGGTGAGTGCGCCCGGGCCCGGCCGGCCCCGCCCCGCCCTCCCGGCCCGGACCCGGCGCTCGGGAAGCTGCGGGCGGCGGCCAGAGCAGCACGATTGTTTTTCAGGCGCCTCCATCTGCCCCCGAGCCGAGCGCGGCTTTCCGGATGAGCGAGAGACGCGGTGTGGACGCGCCGGGAGAGGAGCCGGGCGCCGGCGGAGACCCCGCCTCAGCAAGTCCGCCCGGCAGGGCGCGCGGGGAGGATGCGGAGGGCTGCGCTGGACTTCCGCCGCCGCGGGGGGGCTTTCGGCCGGGCGCCGCGAGGGAGCCGGAGGCTGTGAGGTGAGGAGCGGGGCCGGCGGCGCGCGGGAGGGGGCGGAGCGCGGGGCCCTTCCCCGGCTGCCGCGGCCCGCTCGCCCTCCGCCGGCCCGCCCGTCCCTCCTCCGCCCCGCGGGCCCTGCTCCGCCCCGCTAACGTGAGTTCATTCATCAGGCGTCTCCTCCGGCCTCCCACGCGCCAGGTGCCGCGGTGACAAAGACGGACGCGGCCGTCTGGTCGGAGACGACCCGAGCGGGAGCTGGCGGCCGGGCGGGCGCCGGTGCGCGGGGGGCGGCGCGAGCGGTCCCGGGCGCCGCAGGTGTGTCATGGGCGCCGCGGGGGCCGCCGAGCTGGGCGGGCGGGCCGGAGCCTCCCGGGAAGCGAACCCGGGGAGGGGAGCGCGGCGAGGCGTCCAGCCCGCCGCCCCCACACGCGTTTCTGCACAGGCTGTCACTCCGGAAAGCAGAGATGCCGGGGAGTGGGTTTTTCCCGGAGCCACTCGGTTGTGTGGCAGCTCTTCTGGCATCACCTGCCTTCCTGTGACATGGGCGTGAGGCCCGTGCCCCCTTCCCGCCCGTGAGCCGTTGGAGGCTGAGACCCGCCACGCCGGACGCCCTCATGCGCGTGGGGGACTGGCAGGCTCCTGGCAGTGCCCGAGGATCACGGAGGCCCGATGGCACAGAAGGGCACCGTGAGTGTCCGCAGGTGCCTGTCCCGGCCCCGTGTTCTCAGCGGGGACCGTGGGCACCAGCCAGGCACTCTGGGCGCCGATCTTTAGCCACCCTGCGTGTGTCGGCCAGCGGTCTGCACGGCAGCCGGGAGGTGTGCGCCTCCCTGAGCCCCACCGTGGGGCCGTGGTAGCTGCAGTGTCTGGGGGTTCGATGAGGGCTGAGCTAGGCGCTGACCGACCCGCACTTAAAGAAGGGTGTGCCATTGCCTGGAATGTGGTTTGAGGACGGCAAGAGAAGAGCAGAGAGTGGAGGCGAGGTTGAAGGTCAAGACATCTAAGTATGCGATGAAGGTGTAGGTGTTCTGAGATGCCCCAGAGAGTTGGCGGAAGGCTTACCTGAAACCAGCGAGATTTCTAAGTGCCGTGTTGTGCCTCTCTGGTAAACTGCATGTGGCTGCCTCATGTGATTTCCCCGTCTCTGGGTGTGTTCTTACCTGTGCTTCACCCCCTGCCTCCCATAGCAGGCTCTGCTGGGCAAACGTGATTCCGGCTGGGTCGTCCATCAGCCCTCCACCACCAGCAGGGCAGATTTTCTATTCCTGGATGTGCTTTTGAAGGCTCATCCAGTGCATGTCTGTCTTTGTCTTCCCAGCTCTATTTGTAAAGGTCTTAAGAGCAAGTACAGTGACTTCAGCTTCAAACCTTCAAGATAGTGGCCTGCTTGCCCTGCCCATCTCGGGTCTCTCCAGGAGGACCCAGCCACTCAAGGTACCAGAGTCTTGATTACATCTGCATGTGGCGCTGTTGGTTTCCTGGGATACTCAAAACACCAGTGTCACGTTGGAATGCCACCACTTTTCTCCCAGCTTTCCAGCCTTGTTCACCCAGTCACTGACTTACGGGAATCCACACTTAATGGTACTGTCGGGGGTGGGGGAGGGGAGGACACCTTTCTTTCTGTTTCATCCTGTGTGTACAGCCCAGCCACACCAACACTCCCTGCATTTCCCAGGGCTTCTCCAAAGGGCTGGTATCTGAGGGCGTTGACAGTTTCCTTGTCACTATCCCCCAGAAACGACCGCAGGAGACCAGAACACTGAAGCCAGTGATTTCTGTTTGGAAATAGGGTCGTCTTCTGCCGCTGACCCCCATCAAATCCCATCATGCCCACAGCCCTGTGCCCCCGAGTCTTGGCTCCAAAGGAAAGTGAGGAGCCCAGGAAAATGAGGAGCCCACCGGGAGAGAACCCTAGCCCCCAGGGGGAGCTTCCCAGCCCCGAATCCTCTCGGCGCCTCTTCCGCCGTTTCCGCTACCAGGAGGCGGCGGGCCCCCGGGAGGCCCTGCAACGCCTCTGGGACCTGTGCCGTGGCTGGCTGCGGCCAGAGAGGCACACCAAGGAGCAGATTCTGGAGCTGCTGGTGCTGGAGCAGTTCCTGGCCATCCTGCCCCGGGAGATCCAGAGCTGGGTGCGGGCCCAGGAGCCTGAGAGCGGGGAGCAGGCTGTGGCCGCAGTGGAGGCACTGGAACGGGAGCCGGGGAGACCCTGGCAGTGGGTGAGTAGAAGGTGTGGGGCTGGTACCGGGAGACAGCTGGTGCTCAGACACTTTGGCTGGGCCATGCATCTGCATGGGAGCAAGGAGTTCCATCTAGAGCCATGTACTTTGGTTAGGCCCAGATTAGAGTTTCCTAAGAAAGCAAGTTTTACTCCCTGAAGGCTCTAATTTGGGCGTGGTAATGTCATCCCCCTTTACTGCCCAGTCCAAGGCCTAAGTTGAGCCTTTGGTGGTCCACTGTGGAGTGGATCGTCACCAGACCCAGGGAGAGATGGGACCTCTTCACCTAGCCCTGAAAAGCTCTCTCTGGGATTACAGCTCAAGCACTGCGAAGACCCTGTGGTGATTGATGATGGAGACAGCCCTCTGGACCAGGAGCAGGAACAGCTGCCGATAGAGCCCCACAGCGACCTTGCAAAGAGCCAGGATGCCCAGCCCATGGCCCTGGCACAGTGCCTGGGGCTCTCAGGCAGACCACCAACCCAACTCAGCGGGGACGCAGGTATGCAGCCCAGGGGTGTGTAGGAGGGGTAGTCTGGGGGAGTGCATACCCCATAAACCACACTGGGTGTGGTTTTTGTTAAGCTGATGGCTTTTACATCAGCAGTTTTCTCCTATCTGTGAGCTGTTGCCAAGGTCTGAGTCCCTTCCTAGAGCGATTAAATGAGAACCTCATCAGCATGTTTGTCCTCTTCGGGGTTCTGGATCCTCTCAGAGGGAACTCTTCTGTAGTAGATGTTGTGAGGTTGTGCCCTCTCATCTCTTTGAGGGTGCATCTCTTCAGGATCTGTCAGCTGGATGACAGCTAGGGCCTGCCAGTATACAGCTAGGGCTTGCTGCATGAACTGAGCATGGCCATCTCTTCTTGTCTCTTGGAACCTGTTTCCTTGGCTAAACAACTCCTGTCTACAGAATCATTGTGGTGCTGCAAAGAGATATAAAATTATTTTGGAGGACATAGGGTGGAATCTACTGTGTGGGGCCAGAACATCAGCTAGACTTGGTTTGAGTATGTATACAAAGTACACGGTGGCTACAGGAAGGTAGTTTTGTCGTCAGATAAACTTAGAGCTGAATCTTTGGGTATGACCTGAGGCATACTTCTAAACTCTGAAAGCCTTGGTTTCTTCCTCTGTCCAACAGAGATGGTAATTACCCTTTTTGGGGTTTTTGGAAGATTAAATGAGGTACAACCCGTAAAAGGTTGAGCACAACTTCTGAGGTGCCCAAAATTTAACTTGAAGTACTTGTCGTGGGAAACTGGGGCCCTTGGGTTGAAGGAAGTTGGGCACATGGGTTCCTTTTGCCGCAGTGCTCTGTAAGTACAATGGAAAAAAAGTGGGGGGCCAGGGGTGCTTTCTGATGATTTACAGAAGTCATGTTTGGCGTTATGGGAAACTTTTCAGTAATAAAACCAAAATGCCTATTAAATTTCTCTGTGTGGAAAAACTATGGTGACTTCTGTACAAATCACATAAACTCTCCTGCCTCTTCTTGCTAAAAGTCAAGATTGGTGTAATATTTGCTACCATAGCAAAGTACCACAGACTGGATGGCTTATATAACAGCAATGTATTCTCTCACAGTTCAGGAGGCTGAAAGTCTGAAGCCAAAATATCAGCAACCTTGGGTTATTCAGAAGGCTCTCTCCTTGGCTTGTAGACAGGTCTGATGTTAACACTAAGAGAAGTTTGCAGATAGACATTTAGAAGGAGCTAGGGGCCAGGCGTGGTGGCTCATCCCTGTAATCCCAGCATTTTGGGAGGCTGAGGTGGGCAGATCACCTGAGGTCAGGAGTTTGAAACCAGCCTGGCCAACATGGTGAAACCTCATCTCTGTTAAAAATACAAAATTAGCCATGTGTGGTGGGGGGGTACCTGTAATTACAGCTACTTGGGAGGCTGAGGCAGGAGAATCGTTTGAACCCAGGAGGCGGAGGTTGCAGTGAGCTGAGATCACGTCATTGCACTCCAGCCTGGGAAAAAACAGTGAAACTCTGTCTCAAAAAAGAAAAAAAGAAGGAGCTAGGAGGGGAAATCTTTTATGCCACTGGCTGTCCTTGGGACCCGTAAAAACCTGTTAATAACCAGCCCTGAAAGCTGACAACAAGTTTTGTGCCAAGACTCTGGATGATGGGCAGTTTTGTTTCAGGGAAAGGAAGAAGAAGATGTTTACACTAAAAGTTTGCAGAGCAGTTGTAATAGACACTGTCTCTCTCTGGGTATCTTTACATGGTCTTTCCTCTGTGTGTGTCTGTGTCTTGATCTCCTCTTATAAGTACACCGGTCATATTGGATTAGGGTCCACCAGTATGGCCTGATTTTCTCTTAATTACCTCTTTAAAGATTGTCTGCAAATACAGTCACATTCTGAGGAATCTAAGGATTAGGGCTTCAACATAGGAATTTGAGAGGGGCATAACCTAGCCCCATAACAGGCATAAAGGAAGCAGCCAGTCGCCCACATCAGCAATGCACGTGCAAGTAGCTTGGGTTATGCAGGAAGTGGGGGGCTGTGAGAGGCCTTGTAATGGGGTCTGGGAAGGCACAGTGGAGGAGGGGAAGGAGTTTCAGGAACCACAACAGCCTGTGCAGTTGCTTCTTGATAAAGTTCTGAGGTAAGCCAGCAACACAGGTGGGCTTTGGGACAACAGGGCCAGCTGTCCCATTTCCATGAGCAATAATGAGTAGGCAAAGTAGATGTGATGAGAGTTAGCAGTCAGGAAAACCTTAACTATTAGGACAGTTTCCAACTGGAATGCACTACCCGTCAGAGCTGTATAGTTCCTCATCTTGAAGGTCTTCCCCAAAAGCTAGATTCTGTGTAGGGCTGCAACTCTCTGAAGTGATTCTTGAAGGAGTCCATGTATTCATTTATCAGGGCCAGAAGTAGGGCGGGGCTATGTATTCATACATGTACACATATCTAGGATGTCTACATGTCCCAGAAGGTGGCAGGTGTGAGGGAGCAGAATTAAAACACCACCTCCTAGCCAGGCTCAGCACTTCTCACCTGTGCTTCCAGCTATGCAGGGGGCTAAAGCCGAAGAATCGCTTGAGGCCAGGAGTTTGAGACCAACCTGGGCAACATATTGAGGACCCACCTCTAAAAAATGAAATACCCCCTCTAGGAGATGTTGGTCAAAGAGTACAAAGTTTCCATTAGATAAGATGAATAAATTCTGGAGATCTGTGGTACAGCGTAGTGATGGTGATTAAAAACAGTGCATCTTATACTTGAAAATTGCTAAGAACGTAAATAAGAAATGTTCTCATCACAAAAATATATGAAGTGTAGGTTTGTTAATCATTTCACAATGTATACTTATCATATTGTAGGGTTTTTATAACCAAAATACATACAGTTTTTGTCAGTTATACCTCAATAAAACTGGGAGGTAAAAGGAAGTTAAATAAAGATGAAGATAGAAACTTAGAACATATACACAAGAAATACCACCTCCTCAAATCTACACCCATCCAGCCTGAGCTTCCCTTCGGACACTGGGAAGAGGCTGTCTTGCACTGAGACCCCTAGAATGGCATTGCCATCTGCATGGGTTCCTGCCCCAGGCCTTAGCTCCACATAGCCACTCCTGCAGCTGCCGTTCCTGAAGGCTTTGTATCCAGGTCTGAAAGGTCCCAGACACTGGCTTCTGGGGCTTGCTTTGGCAATGACTTAACATGTGACCTAGCATTAACCAGTAGACTGTAGCACAGCTCTCCAAGTCTTACTCTGAGAAAGGAGTACCTTTTGAAACACAGAGCTCATTTTTACATGGCTGCACTGTTGGCAGGCGATGTGGCTCACTGCAGAAGGCTGAGCAACGTGTAGTTTCCAATCACAGGACAGAAAGTGGCAGAGTCCCCGGTAGGCTGGTGAGATGGTCCCAAAGCCACACTCAGCACTTTGTATGAGGGTCTTTAGGGTACTGTGCCAAATGCTTTTTCACAGTGCGTACAGTGATGACAGTTTTTCTTTTTTGTTTAATTTCTGTTTTGAGATTGACAAAAAATTGTATGTATTTACGGTGTGCAGTGTGATGCTTTGATATCTATACACATTGTGAAATGACTAAATCAAGCTAATTAGCTAGGCATGGTGGCACACCTGTAGTTCAGGAGCCTGAGATGGGAGGATCCCTTGAGCTCAGGAGTTCTATTCCAGCCCAGGCAACATAATGAGACTAGTCTCTTAAAAAAAAATTCAAGCTAATTAATATAATGTGTTACCTCCTATACCTATCCTTTTTGTGTGTGTGGTGAAAATACTTCAGATCTACTCTTTAAGCAGTCTTCAAGTACATAGTACATTGTTACTGCCTGTAGTAACCATGTTGTACAATAGGACTCCAGAACTTATTCCTCTCGTGTAATTGAAATTGTGCACCCTTTGGCCAGTGTCCCCCTAGTCCCTCCATTCCCTACCCTCTGGCAACCAGCGCTCTGCTCTCTGCTTCTATGAGTTGAACTTGTTTACAGTCCACATTTAAGTGAGAACATGCAGTATTTCTGTTTCTGTGCCTGGCTTATTGCTTGTAGCATGTCCTTCAGGTTCTTCTATGCTGTCACTAATGACAGGATTTTCCTTCTCTTTTATGGAGTTCCACACTAATTCTGATTGCCAACAGCCCTTACCTTTTTTTTTCTTTTGAGACAGAACAGTCGCCCAGGCAGGAGTGCAGTGGTGCAGCTGTGGCTCACTGCAGCCTCGATCTCTCGGGCTCAAGCAATCCTTCTGCTTCAGCTTCCCAGTTTTTTGATTTTTAGTAGAGATGAGGTCCCGCTGTGTTGCCCAGGCTGGTCTCGAACTCCTTAGCTTAAGCAATCCTCCCACCTTGGCTTCTCAAAGTGCTAGGATTACAGGCATGAGCTACCATATCCAGACCCTAACAATCCTTATAGATTCCTCAACTCTGTAGCTTTTTTTTCTTTTTCTGCTTCTTCTTTTTTTTTTTTTCTTTTTCTTTTTAAGAGAAAAATACTCTCTGTGTTGTCCATGCTGGTCTGGAACTCCTACCTTGGCTTCTCAAAGTGCTAGGATTACAGGCATGAGCTACCATATCCAGACCCTAACAATCCTTATAGATTCCTCAACTCTGTAGCTTTTTTTTCTTTTTCTGCTTCTTCTTTTTTTTTTTTCTTTTTCTTTTTAAGAGAAAAATACTCTCTGTGTTGTCCATGCTGGTCTGGAACTCCTGGGCTCACGTGATTCTCCCACCTCAGTTCCCAGAATAGGATTAGCTAAGATTACAGGCATGCATCACTTCCCACGGCTGAACTCTGTAGAGTTTTAACCTTTATTTTCCCATATTTTGGATAACAGTGCTGAGGTCTGGGTACTTACCCGAAGCGAAAGAGTTAATTTAATTGACCGTGCTTTCGTGAACTCAGCCAGGCACACACTTTCAGATTAAAGTTATAGCCACCTTTATTATATCTGAAAACAAAGACGCAGCAATCTTAGTACACTTAGTTATAGAGTGCTTTTCATGTACATCATTTTGTAATCCTCATTTTACAGGTAAGAACAGAGCCTGGGGTTTTATGAAAAGCACGGTGAAATAGCTCCCTCTTGGTGCCTTTCTTGTGTTTTTCTTGGCTACCACAACTGAAATGAAGAGCCTCAGGAAGCTCAGGAGGTGGCACCAGGCCTGGCCCTGGCCCCCTTTGGAACACCCTTTTCTGATTTCTTTCAGTTCTGCAAGATGCTTTCCTTCTTCAGGAAGAGAATGTACGGGACACCCAGCAGGTGGTGACCACCCTGCAGCTACCCCCGGTGAGTGATTTCTACAGGAGTCCTTGAAAATCCCGTGTTTACCTCTCTGTAGGCTACAGGGCAGCTTTCCTAGGACCCCAGCCAGCTTTCCAGCTGCCGCACAGGATGTTCAGTCCCGGCCCAGAAAAGCTAAAATAGACAGAGTGTGGGCTTAAGAGACACCCTATTTCTCCACCAGCTCTTCTAGTCCCAGCCGCTCACTAGGTTGACTGTCATCAGGGCACCTTCAGGAAGCTTTGTGCAGACAACAGCAGGAAACAAAGGCCCATGAGTTCCTACTGATGGGCCTCTCCGCATGTCTAAGTTCCCCTCTTGTGAAAAAGGAGGTCTCTCTGCTCTTTTATTTTACAGAGAATTTTTCAAAAAATTTAATAATTGTCACAGCAATAGTTATATGTTAGAAATGTTAGGAAGTAGAGGGAAGAAAGCACAGGTAATTTCAGTCCTGTCACATATCTATGCGGTGAGTCATTCCAGAATTCCCTCAAATGTTCTTGTTTGTGTTTTCGTCTAACACTTGCTTATTCAGGTGCTCTGAGGAGTCGGAGTCGGAGTCAGAATCAGGGCTGGGGGCTGGTCCAGCAGGTGATCTTACTCACCTCTTTCTAGCCCAGTTGCTGCGTTTGGCTGTGCTTTCTGGCCATATCTCCTTCATTTTCCCTCCTGACACTTTCCACTGGCTGGCATGATATTTAGTTCTGGCAACATCATCCCCTCCCATGGGAACAGGAGGTGCAGTTCCTGCTTTTGTTTAGTTGTTCCTTACCCAATAGAAAGAAAACTGTGAAAAACAGTAGACACACTATGATCGTGTCTCAGCAGAATGCAGGAAGCCAAGCAGTCACAGTTCATTCGACATGACTTTATTTTCATTTTTAGAGATAGGGTCTTGCCTTGTCACCTAAACTTCAGTGCAGTGGCACAATCATTGCTCACTGTAGCCTCAAACTCCTGAGCACAAGTGATCCTCCAACTTCAGTCTCCTGAGCAGCTGGGACCACAGGTGCATGACACTCCACCCAGCTAAGTTTTGTAATTTTTTGTAGAGACAGCATCTTGCTATGTTGCCCAGGCTAGTCTCAAACTCCTGACCTCAAGTGATCCTCCTGCCTCAGCCTCCCGAAGTGTTGGGATTACAGGCATGAGCCACTGTGCCCAGCTGACATGACTTTGAACTTGGAGAAGGAAGGGCTAAGGATGGGAAAGAGTTAGCCAGGTTACCCAGTTCCATAACTTGCTTTTGCCCCACCAAAGCTGTGGCACACACCCTTGTACTCTGATGCTCAACACATACATGTCAGCATCTATTACGTACTGTGACCATTCCCAAACACAAAGGAGCTAAAACTGGTATTTCTTATTAAAAGTTGGTATCTTTAACCAGAATAACACAAGGGGATGCTGTTAATTCAGTACCTAATGAGGTTTGGTCTTCAGCTTTCAATTCCTGTAGTACCCAGTAAATGCGCGGCGAGCACAGTACAGAGATTTCGGTAAGTCAGTGCTGTTTTATTACTCTGATAGTTTCTGCCCAATGCACTAAAAGTCACCATCATGAATGTCTTGTTTGTGTTTTTAATTTTTAATTTTAATTGTGGTAAAACACATATAGCTTTAAGTATGCAGTTCAGTGGTGTTAAGTACATTTACATTGTTGTACATCCAATCTGTAGAACTTTTTCATCTTCCCAAACTGAAATTCCTTATATATTAAATAATAACTCACCATTTACCCTTCCCCTCAGCCCCTGGCAACCTCCATTCTACTTTTAGTCCCTATTAATATGACTATAAGTACCTCATATAAGTGGAATTATGCACTGTTTGCCTTTTTGTGACTGGTTTATTTCACTCAGCATAATGTTCTCAGGTTCATCTATGTTGTAGTATGTGTCAGAATTTCCTTCCTTTTTAAGGTTGAATAATACTCCACGTGGTATATATCCCATTTTTATCCATTCATCTGTCGATTGAAATTTGCATTAACTCCACATTTTGGCTGTTGTGAATAAGGCTGCTATGAACATGGTACACATAAAGTTTTGTTTTTCTTTTTAAGTTAACTTTATTTTTACATAATTATTGATTCACATGCCATTATAAGAAATAACACAGAGATCCTGTGAACTTTTTAACACTCAATGGTAAAATACAGAGTAAAAATCTGTGCTGTAAAAATCTAGTACAATGTCACACCCAGAATATTGACACTGATACATGCAAGATAGAGTAGGTGCTTCACCAGAAGGATGCCTCCTGCTACCTAATGTCCACACTCATTTCTTCCCTACTCTCACCCACTCTTCAGCCTCTGGCAACCACTGATCTGTTCTTCATCTCTATAATGTCATTTCAAGAATGTTATATCAGTGGATTCATACAGTATGTAACCTTTGGGGATTGGCTGTTTTAATTCAGCATAATTCTGTGGAGCTTCGTTCAGGTTGTTGCATGTGTTACTAGTCCGTCACTTGTCGTTGCCAAGTAGTATTCCATGGCATGGAAGTCCAACAGTTTGTTTAACCATTCACGGGTTGAGGAACATCTGGGTTGTTTCCAGTTTGGGGTCATTATTGCATAAAGCTGCTATAAATATTTGCATGCAGGTTTTTATGTGCACATCAGTTTTCATTTCTCTGGGATAAGTGGCCAGGTATGCAGTTGTTGGTAAGTATATATTTAGTTTTAAAAGAAACTACTCTGTCCTTCCCAGAGTGGCCATGTCATTTACATTCCCACCAGCAATGTATGAGTGTATTAGTCTGTTTTTATGCTGCTGATGAAGACATACCTGAGACTGGGCAATTTACAAAAGAAAGAGATTTAATGGACTTACATTTCCATGTGACTAGGGAGGCCTCACAATCATGGCAGAAAGTGAAAAGCATGTCTCACATGGCAGCAGACAAGAGAGCTTGTGCAGGGAAACTCCCCCTTATAAAACCATCAGATCTTGTGATACTTGCCCACTGTCATGAGAACAGCACAGGAAAGACCTGCCCCCATGATTCAGTTACCTCCCACCTGGTCCTTCCCACAACACATGGGAATTCAAGATGAGATTTGGGTGGAGACACAGCCAAACCATATCAATGAGTAATCTACATTCTCTAAAACTTACCAAGATGTGGTATTGTCTGTTTTTTTTTTTATTTTAACCGTTCTTATAGGTGTGCAGTGGTATCTCATTATGGTTTAAATTTGTGTTTCTGTAATGGCTAATAATGTTGAACATCTTTTCATGTGCTTATGTGCCATCTTTATATTCTCTTCTATGAAGTGGCTGGTCATAACTTGTCTGTGTTCTAATTGAACCATTTTGCTTTTTTACTGTTGAGTTTTGAGAGATCTTTACAACTTCTAGATACTAGTACTTTAATGGATATGTGTTTGGCAAATATTTTCTCCCACTATGTAGTCTTTTTTTGTGGGGGTGGTCAGAGGATGTAATTTAGTATTTGAAAATTTTTAATCGATATATAGCAGTTGTACATATTTTTTTTTTTTTTTTTTTTGATGGAGTTTCGCTCTTGTTACCCAGGCTGGAGTACAATGGCGTGATCTCGGCTCACCGCAACCTCTGCCTCCTGGATTCAGGCAATTCTCCTGCCTCAGCCTCCTGAGTAGCTGGGATTACAGGCGCGTGCTACCATGCCCAGCTGATTTTTTGTATTTTTAGTACAGACAGGGTTTCACCATGTTGACCAGGATGGTCTCGATCTCTTGACCTCGTGATCCACCCATCTGGGCTTCCCAAAGTGCTGGGATTACAGGCTTGAGCCACCGCGTCCGGCCAGCAGTTGTACATATTTATGGGGTGCATGTAATATTTTGATAAGCACACAATGTGTAATTATCAAATCAGGGTAATTGGGATATTGATCACCTCATTTATCATGTCTTGGTGTTGGGTACATTCCACATCTTCTCTTCTGTTTTGAAGTATACAGTAAATTTTTGTTAACTGTAGACATTCTATTGTGCTATTGAACACTAGACCTTATGTATTTCTATCTTCTTCTATCTAACTGTATGTTTCCTACCATTAACCAACCTCTCTTCACCCCCATCGCCGCTTCCCAGCCTCTGGTAATCACCAGAATTCGTGTAGTTTATCTTTCTATCCCCTTAATGGAGTCGTTAGCAGAGCAAAAATTTTAAATTTGGATTAAGTCTAATTTGTCATTTTTTCTTTTAAGGGTTGGGTTTTTGGTGTAAAGTCTAAACTCTCTTTGCTTAATCTAGATTGCAAAGATTTTTCCCTCTGTTTTCTTCTAAAAATTGTAATTATACACTTTACATTTAGGTCCATTATCTGTAATCCATTTGCTTTTAAGCCCTGATCTATAATTTTTATATATGACATGCGACTTAGATTGAGGTTCATGTTTTACCAGTGGATGTGCATTGCCAGGGTTCCAGTATGTTGGTTGGAAAGGTTATCTTTCCTCAAATTGCTTTTTTACCATTCTTTCCCTTTTTTTTGAAACATGATCTTGCTCTGTCTCCCAGCCTGAAGTGCAATGGTGCACGTCAGCCTTGCCGCCTAGACCTCCTGGGCTCAAGCAGTTCTCCTGCCTCGGCCTTCCAAGTAGTTGGGACTACAGATGTGTGCCAGCACACCTGGCTAATGTTTTGTTTTTTGTGAGACTGGGTCTTGTTATGTTGCCCAGGCTGGTCTTGAACTCCTGGGTTCAAGCAATCCTCCCACCTCAGCCTCTCAAAAGTGCTGGGGTTACAGGTGTGAATCACCATGCCTAACCTGCTTTTTCACTTTCATCAAAACTCAATTGGGCATATTTGTGTAAGTCTATTCTTGGATTCTCTATTATGATCCATTGATTTTTATGTCTCTCCCTCCACTAATATTATACAGTTTTGAGTACTGTAACTATGTAGTAAGTCTTAAAATTGTGCTCAATAATTCCTACCATTTTTTTATTCTTCTCCAAATTTATTTTAGCTATTTTAGTCCGTTTGCCTTTCTGTATGAATTTTAG